ATAGCAAATAACCTAAACAGTTGCCTGCTGTTTAGATTAGAGCTGGGAAAGACTTTTCAATAAATAGTAAATTAGGCAATGGCAGGATGGAAAGTTTATAGTCTTCAGATTGCTTGGGAATTCGCTGTGGCACCTGTAAATAGTTTTAGATGGAAATATTTTTTCAGCATGTAGCTCAAACAAAAAAACAAACAAAAAAAAGACAAAATACAGACCCTTATGAAAGAAGACGATATTTACACGTGCTTACAGGTCTGGATTTGGTCCCTTCTGCTTCTGTACAGTTCAAAACATCTTCCACCAACTTGCAGCTACTGAGTATTCAGGGTGCTTTGTATCACTCCTGCTGTTAACACTGTCAGCAGGGTGTGTCATAGGTTCCTGGCACCAGGATGAGAAGCTGGATAACCCATCACACAAGTAAATTTCTGAGTCTCTTGGTTCAAGAAGGCTCAATCCCAAGCTTGGAGCTGTTTTGCTTTTTAATAAGATGCCTCACCGTAAATTGAGTAGAAGGACTACTTGAAGCTGATTGTTAGAGCCCTCCCAGAGAAGTGCAGCATCTGGTTTGGTGGATGTTCTTTAAAAAACAAACAAACAACACCCCCCGCCAGCTTTCATGCTAGATGAAGAGGGAACCAGAGTCAGAAAGATGAGTGCACTCCACCCCAATATGCTCTCCCACTCTTGTGGGATACGTGGGTTCAAACTTCTTTAGGCAAAAAGAGGACTCAGATCTCCAGCATGCGATGCATATCCTTGCTGTACGTCATTGGATAAATGGGACTCCTAGCATCACATCTGCCACCTCTTCTGCTTTTTACTGAAGATTTTCTCTTCTGTTGTTCTCTTCTGTTTTCTTTCAAGTGCCTGGAGGTGCAAATTTTTATCTTAGGTCTAACAATGTATTGCTCAAAAAAACCCTCCTTTTTATTCTAAGAAAAACAGATAACAGATGAAAAAAAGGATTTTTTTTCAAGTTGAAAATGTACGTATTTACTTAGCTGTTCTTGACATCAATACCTGTGGAATTCAGCACTTAGCCTCAGATCTCAGATTTGCAGTTAGGTTAGATGGCAAGTTTGTTTGTGGGTTATTGGCTTTAAAACATAAGAAAAGCATTGCAGGCTTGGAGAAAATAGGCAAGTAGCTGGAACCAAGGATGCCAATAAAAAGCAAAAGAACATCACTAGAACGAAACAAATTCTTTTCTCTGTATAGCTTGTCTAGGTTCTGTCAGCAGGTTTTCTGTTGTCTTTGTTTAGTGTAAGACTAGAAATGCTCTGTCAAGTTTTGAATGGCAGACTCGGGCTTTTTATTAGGCTGTGAGAATTAATCCTAAAATGTAGCAGTCAGTGTTTCTAGTTCAGAGATGGAAGCATTAATGCAGGTGTGAGACCCTCCTCTAATTCTGCGTACAGTTCTGGACACTGATGTTCAAGAAGGCAAATTTAAACTGGAAAAAGGTGTAGAGAAGAACTGTGATGGTCAGAATGAAAAGATCCCCTTTGAGAGGAAACTGAATGAACACAACAATTTAGCTCAGCAAAGTGAAGTCTGAAGAGGCATACAAATTCTTTCTATAAATACTTTGGGGAATAATAACCGGGAAGGGAAAAGAACTATTTAAACTAAAGGACAATGTTGGCACAAGAATAGCTGGGTACAAGCTCACTGGGAAAACATTTTGGCAGGAAATCGGAATGTTTCCAGAGGTTCTGAACTTCAGTGAGGTTTTGTGGCAACCTTCTAATTTTTCATTTTAGGGGTTTTGTCCCCATTATTTCTAGTAATTTTTAAGATGGAGAATGTGTATCATTTATGAACAGAATTATATAATACAATTATTCCTTATGATAGCAGGAACCCTGAAGGTCCCTTTCAGCCTTATTTCTTGAATCTTAAGAGTTAGAATCCTCTTGGGTCACTGTGCTGTGAACCTTTGGTCCGTATTGCACTTAGAAGACATCTGTGATGGTAATTAAGAAAAGTAATTCTGTTCGGTAGGCTCCTATCTTCTGTGTAGACATGCTGATACCTTTAGTGGCTCCTACTAACAGGGAGGCCACTGTTGGTAGTGTGGGGGAATACAGAAGTTGAAAGGTTGGAAAAACATATTTAGTCAGATTTTGTGACGTATAGCATGTATGGTTACCAGTGGTAGTTCATTTACCCAAAGGCTAGAGGTTTAAATTTAGTCCGAATGGTATGTTTATACCACTACTACCACTAGTACAAAAATATATGTATATAACCTTTACTTTTTCTGTTGGTACTCACTGACAAGGACCTTCAAAGCATATGCAAATGTTTCAATAATCTATTTGACATTCAGTGATGGTCTCTGGATGTTTTCTTCTATTGTCCTTTTAAAGTAGCAGTAATGATGCATCCTAGAAGGAATTCCCTTTTGACAAGAAAGTAAATGTGTATATGTTTCCCTGAATTGTAGCCCTCCACTAAGTGTCTTACAGCTAATAAATCTCATAATCCAAAGATAAAGGTCAAGAGAATAATCCTAAAGTCCAATTTGAATCTTATTCAGGCTTGCTTCTGTGCAAGGGGAGAGTGTGTCTTCAGTGCCATTGCGATCTAATAATTTTGTTGATGCCATTTAGGGGAACTGGGATACCTTTCTTCAAAATGCTAGTAAAATGCCACTTGTTGATGTGAATGGAGAACAATGTAATAACCTGCATTCTACTAAATGTCAGGTAATAGTCCCTTCTGGCTTTATGCTCTTCAGTTTTTATCAAACAACTTAAAAAAAAAAAAAAAGTGGGGGAGAGGGGGCAAAAATAAATAAAAGGAAATCCAAAAGAAAGATATGACTTCAGCTTCCTCTTCTATTCATCATCACTGTGAGAAGGGAACTTGTCCAGTTTAATCCAATAAGGAGGAAGTTGCTCTACCAGCAGGCGATAACAACAGGTTTTGGAAAGTTATGAGAGGACTGGGTGCTGCTGCATTGGTGCTGTAGAGACTGAGAGGCATATCCTTTTCTGCCGTCACATGATGAATATCTTGTGCCACACCAGATAAAGCGAATGGGCTGGGAGGAGAAAAGGAATATGGGCTATTCCTTGAGAGTCCAAAACCACACACGTACCTACGTATATAGCCCCAGTACAGTTACACTGTGCAGTGATTCATGCAGTTCTGCAGTGACTGATCTGCTCATATAATAAAGCTCTTCGCCTTAGTATATTTTAAGAATCTCAGCATAGCTAGAAAGGGAGGTTGTTTCACAAAATACAGAGAAACTTGCAGATTATATTTTTACTGATCCTTCAGATAAGGAGTCAGACACGACAGTTATCAAAGGTTCTCTTGCAGTGCAGCATTGTTAATCTTACAGTACACTGTTGCAAATCTGCTCATTATTTGCAGCTGATAGTAGTAACAGAAGAAGATTCTTATTTTTTTGATGCAGCCAACTTGACTTTTTGTGAATTTTTGACTGTATCTGTGCTTCTGGATCTGCTCCCCTCCTTAAAGGCACATGTGGTAATTATGTTTGCTTTGTAATCTCCTGCTTCTCAGATGCTAGCCTGAGGTAGGTTACCTCATGTTAGACTTCTTGATCTTCACAGCAATGTCCTATAGTAAGGACACTGTGTAGGAAACAGCTATAAAGGAAAACAAGAGGAATTGGGCATGATGGTTTGTACGTGTGTATAATGCTGAAGAACAGTGCCTGATCAAATAGCTTTGGAGAGAAATGGGTTGCGCATCCTTAAGCGTGTGTGCGGTGGCTGCAGGTGCTCTAAATGTCAGAGATGCACCTTGCTTCTGTCAGCTTTAGTGCAGCGTGGCTGTGGTCTTTGTATCAAGAATGATATATATTTATGCCTGAATGGCCTATGACTTTCCACAAAAATTAACAACCAGATTTACTTCAGGATTTAAGGGGGAGGTGCTCCGCAGTTGCGGGGGGTTGCTTGTTCTGCAGAAGTGTGAACCTATTTGTGTATCAAGAATACTCTGTGTCAAGTTGGTTAACTGAAATGCCTTTTTTAAAATTACTGGGTTTTTTTAAGCCTAACAGTAAGGGAAAGTGCACTCTTCTTTGTGTAATCCACTTTGATTTGTCTCCTTTCTGGAAAAAGAATAAATTTTATATGCTTTTCTTCTCTGTATGTCCCTATTCATCTCAGGATTAGAAATCTTTGTTAGAGTTAAGAGGACTGGGTATCCAGGAGCCATGTGCACTCCCTTGAGAAATTCAAGTCTGTGTAGTTTTCTGTTGCTTGCGTACTGATGCAATCCTCTAGAACTGCAAGGAAAACTTTGGACCCAAAAAGTTGTATGGTTTGTCTCTTTCTTGTTAAATTAGTGTATAGTTTTGTACAAAGTTGTTTGATAGTAGACGTATTTATTTGTAACTGTCACACTGATATAATTGAGACATGTTCAACTTACTAGAGGTTTTGCTCCACTCCTGGTCATTTTTGAGATTCTTAAATACTAACTTGGGATTCACGGAGAAAATATCCTTTCCGCAGGCAGTTCTTTAAGTTTGGAGGGTGTTCCTAAATTTTCTTGTCTTCCAAAGATTTCTGGTAGTTTCTTCCCAGCAGTGTTAAGGACCAAAGTATTTGTGTTCTGGTGGAGGGGTGGCTAGTGTGACAGGGGTATTTTTCCCTTCTGTAAAGGGTTCCGTATGTACAGATGTCTAAGGCGAGGCTTTTCCCATTCACAGGAGAAGGCTAATGGGTAACAGTGAGGGACACTGAGCGCATCATATCTGTTACCAAGAAGTTTTGTTCTGTCCATTAACTATTCCAGTGATTATTTTCTATTATATCACATGAGCAACGTTTCTAGAACAGTCAAAAGAATTGCAAAGGACATTTCTAAATACTATGGCCTGCTCAGATACAGTTATTTTGGAGATTTGGCCCCCCATTGCCCGAAATGGAAGGGCACTGTTGCTGACATTTCCCACTGACTGTCAATATTGCTTCTGTGATCATGTCTTTTTTTCTTCCTTAAAACAGCCCACTGTTTGTAACGTGGAAGATTGGTCGAGATAAACGATTGCGTGGATGCATAGGTACTTTTTCTGCCATGAACCTGCATTCAGGACTCAGGGAGTACACACTTACTAGGTAAGATTTTGTTTTCTGTAGCCTTGACTTACATGTTTAAATAGTCTACTGAGGAGGTGATAGGTGTGCTTTGGTTTGTTTTGGGTTTTTTTGGCTGTGTCACTGTACTGATCAATGAAAACTTGTATCTCCTTTTGATGCTAAGCATATTGTCTGGTTATTTGACTACTGGTGTCATGAGGCTATGGTTTCAGTTAAAAACAGTAACTTGAGGTTTGGTTTTTTTTTTTAATTGGTTTCAAACTACTCTCCGGTAGCTTATTGTAACTGACTATTACAGTATCTTTTCCAGTCTTCAGACAAATTTTAACCTTAATAGTTAATGTCAGGGCAGAAGACCAGAAAGTCAGATTTGGGGATTATCCTATTCACACTTCTAAAACAGCAGGTATTCTCACCTCTTCTCCATCAGGTGCTTCCAATCAGCTGCAGTTAATTTAATGCTACAAATTTCCATTACATGTTACTCTTCAGATACATCCCAGCCCCTGAGTGGGAAGCTTCCGGATGAGGGAGGTAAGTGATGATGATCCTTCAACTCCCTGGCAGCATAATCCTTCATTTTTTTGATCTACACCTAAATTCATTCACCTTAATATTGTTCCATTTTCTTTGCATAGAGTGAAAACTAATAAGTTTATCACTAGAGCTAGTAGCAAGCTTTCTACTTGTTTTTTCTAAGAGTTTTCTTAAGTTTATTTTCTAAAGAATCAATGGAATTTTGTTCCGTTCAGTTACAATAGACTGTTTATAGTGCTTTAAAATAGAAACTACATTCCGGCATGTGTAGACCTCTAAAATTGTCATCACTTAAAATAATTAGTGCCTCCAGATCACTTTAGATTTGAGGCTTTCCTTCATTGCAGGGTCTTCCTCTTTGCTGTTAAAATGCCTTGTTGATCCCAGTACTAAGTAATATTAAAATGGGACATGTTCTTTCTTATATGTCTCACCAGTTTGTTGCAAGCTGAAGTTAATTTCATGCTTCTCTCTGCTCAGCTGGAAGAAATCAACTGCTCATCTCCTGGAGTCCTTACAAACTTCTGAAAGACCTAGTTACCTTTATTGTGTTGGTTTTATTTATTACGTGGTCTGGAGTGTTTCTGGTTGTGTCCTTTAAAACCTCAGCAATCAAAATGGTCAATGAGAAGAAGCTTATAATAAAATTCAAAGCAATTTCTCTGTTGAAGGTTAAAAGCCTTAAAATCTTAACCATTAGTGAGCCAGACTGGAGGAAGAACAACTTGCCCCCTGCACTGGAGAGCATTTCATTTAAATGTACGCTTTACAGTGCCTGATCGAGAACAATGAGCTTGTACAGAAAATTACCCCCTAAGACTAGGAAGGTGATAGATTTTTTCCATTCTCACAAGTCAAATAGTGCTGTACTCTTGCATACCTTTAAAAATGCTTATCAGATTCTTCTTACTGCATTCTAACTCTGAAAGCTGAAGGCAAAATACATGAAAAGTGATGCAAATTAAAGTATTTTCAGTGCAGTATTTAAGCGATGGCCACATGCTGTGGAAGTTTATACTAGGCTATTCAGAGAGGATAGTTCAGTAATTTTCAAGATGAAAGAAGTGAAACTATATACCAACCTATTTTTCAAAAATCTTTGAGAGCTCATCAGTTGTTTAACAAAAAAAAATTATAGTGGCATATTGGATTTTATTACCTTTTATGGGCAACCTTTTTCATGACTATGGCACCAAAAATGTTTTCTGTTTAAAAAAACAAAACACCACCAAACTTCAGATCTGACCACTGAAATGTGAAGTTCATATCTGAATGTACGAAAAAGTTGTTCCCTTCAATCAATCATTATTTAAAAAAAGAAAGAGAGGGTTACCTGTGATCAGTTTCCTTCATGGTGTTAGTCCTTTCGACTACAGAGCTTCCAGAGGAGAGCGTTTGAGGAATGAAAGAAGCACCTTTGAAATGTCTATGAACTTTCAAAGTTTGGAGCTCCACAGGCCTCCTTAGGAGGGATCAGAAACTAGGACGTTACAGCTTGATCCAGCAGTATGTGGGCAATAGGCTCCTGCAGAAGATATGACAATTTCTGAAAGAGGAAAAACAGCTTCTTCAGGGAAGGCAAAAATTAATTGACAAACTAGGTAGAATGAGAACGGACTCTCCACTGACCAAAATTTTTGGTTGAGGATACAGGCAGATATTCTTCTGACTTTATTTTACTTTGACACTGAGAGACACTTTTATTCAGTTACTCTGAAGATACAGTGTGGATAAACAGAACCAGGTTGTTTGTCTAGTTCATTCGTATCTTTTTCAGCACCTTCTGTGGAATTGTGGCCCAACTTTCAGTGAGTAAAACGGTATCGAAGAACAGCTGTTCTTTAAATGCCTGGTGCTTAGCGATCAAAATATCCTCAATTTCCTTCACGCATGATTTTATTACAAATATGCTGAGTAGTGCTTAGGATCACGATAAATCAAATTTTCCTTAATTCTAGTAGCGATCTCTAGTTGTATATTGTATACAATATGTAGCATATCCATCTCTATCTGCATACAATAGAGTAGTTTCTTCGAAATAGCATAATGATAGTTCATCTAGGAGTCTGAAGTGAACAATTTCTTTCTTGGGACACCCACACTGCCCCACTTAAACACCTTTTGGGGGTCTATAAACAAAAATCGTGATGATGTGTGACCAAGTGAGTTTCATTTCTCCATTTTGAGCTCTGTAGGTTGTTATGCTGGTATTGCCACTATGTTCTAAACAGGAAATTTATGTAGAATGATTCATCATTAATTGGATGCCTCTGCCTAAGTCGTGAGGAGGGATGAGAATACCCATAGTTAAAAATGCTAGTACTGTATTCCTAATAAAATCTACATGTTAGAATTCAATTTTCTCTGCAGTTACATCAGTGAAACACAGGGGAAAGGAAGTGTATTACTAAAATCTTCTGCAGAACTTTAGGAAAAGATAGATTCAGATTTAGTGATTTTTATATAATTTTACTAGGAGGTTAGCTGGATAAAAATCTATCCTTGTCCAAAATGTTTTACAGTATTGACTGTTGTATATTAGGACGCAAGAAGTTTATCATGGGCAAAATAGTCCTTTAGACTGAATGTGTTAATTGAATATCCCACCTGAATACGTAAAAATAAACCCATCCAGATTATGAAAAATGCAGCTCCTTGTGTTTTGCAGCTCCTTCAAGAAAATACACTGAACTTGGAAGCAGGTTACCACAGAATTTCATAACAGGTTGATAAATTACTTTTTCACGTATTCTGTTCAGCAGTAAGACTTAGGTTTTGGTATTGAAGTTTTAAACTCCTGCTCTCTTACACTTGAGATACTGAATGAAATGGTTTCGTTTATTAATTTTAGTTCAGTTTTTCTACCCATTTCATATAATTTGAAGTTGTATTTTATGCCTAGTGGATATAACACATATAGGTGTATAAATTAAGTTTTAACTCTGCGTTGGTTTATCCTGTCAAGGCTAGAATATATATCTGGGGAGGGAAATAGTAGAGAAGAGGCAGATAAAGGGAGACGTTATATGACAGAGCCTTCTGTCATAGAAGAAAGCAGTGAAGAAAAATTGGAGGACTCCAGGCCTTAAGTGGGTTAGCATAATGGCTGAAAACTGGATTTAAAATTTAAAATCATATGTAACCCACCCTCCTTAACTAACATAGGCCTGTCTTTACCGACTATATGATATAATTGGTCTTTTTGTTGCCTGTTCTACTTAACCACTCCACCTGGGAGAAATACAACTGCTGTCAGACATTCAGCCTAGTTGTGGTTGATCAAGAAATGAAAACAAAGAGGGAAGCTTGGGATGAGAAGCACAAGATTGAAGGAAATGAAGCCTGCAACCAGCTTTCTCAAAACTGAATTCGGGTGTAGATTCCATATGAGGATTTGGCTGCCAGTGGCATCAACTACTGCCCTATATTTGTCAGCAATTTCAAGAGTCTAGTCCATGTTGCTGCCATATTGCCTGCCTGCTCTCTGTGAAAAACATTGACCCTTTCTTCGTGTTCCACACAGTAAACGGTCCAACTGCAATACTACAGTATGGCAAACTTACTTAAGAAGTAAAATTAAAAAATATTAAATGACTGATCACATTAATATTGATGTTGGCCTTATTTACTAAAGACTAGAGGCAAGTATTTGTGCAGACAGGGCAGCTTCCCTCTTGTGTTTAGCTGAGGTTACTACTCTGTTTAATTCCTGTTTCTTTTTACTGATCATAGACTTGTTCAACCTTCCCTGTAATCAGCCCCTACAACTCAGTGCTAACTTCCCAAAGCCTTTACTATCAGGCAGTCTTGCTATGGGTGTAGATACTCATTGCCGTTGATCCAGGGCAAACCATACTCATGTATCTGACTGCAATTTCTGAACTGCAGAGTTGGGGGAATTATATATGTTTTTGACATTTGTTGTGACCTTCACTGTTCACAGAATTCATAGTCTAAATTAATTCCTGCAAATAGCATTTCATGTAATATTTCAGAGCACATTGTTGCTTCTGTGTTGCCCACTGATAACACTTTGCAGGCTGTCTTATTTTGTGGCTTTGATTTATAGTAGACCACTGCTGAAAGTCAGCTTTTTTAATTCTATTACTACTCTGCGTCTGGTGGCCACCAATTAAAAATGCCTGATAATTGTGCGATGAAGCTCACACTATCACTTTCAAAATTAAACTCTGCAGAGAGCAATGTAGACTCTTGACAGCCTGAACAGACAGTGTTATGCTATTCTTGTATGTTTAACATGGTCTTTAAAGCCAGGAAGCATCATGTTGCTTCCTTTTCATTTGTACGTTTCTATGAAAAGCAGGTGTCTGCTGATTGCCTCTGAGTTTTCAAGGTCATCTTATTCAGGCAGAGGGCACAAATTTTGCCCCTACTAAAGGATGACTTGCAACAGAGGGAGGATCTCAAGGCGAGAATAGGTGCTTCAGGAGATCTGTGGTAACGTGGTTCTGTGTCTAGTT